ATTCCATTCCATTCCATTCCATTCCATTCCATTCCATTCCATTCCATTCCATTCCATTCCATTCCATTCCATTCCATTCCATTCTTAGCTAGCCTTCTGATGAAACCTTTTCTTCTATTCTTTTAGTATAGTTTTAATGTAATATATATCATAAAATAATAAATCCTGGAGTCAGATCCTCGTCTCTTCCCCAACCCAAGAACCCTTGTGAGCACGGTCACACAGGTCAGGGTTTAGCAAACATCTCTTTTTCTCTTTCCAGAGCCAGGTGGCCATGGTGACCTGCTGGTAGGGGAAGCCCACTGGCACAGCTCGCCTGGGAAGCCCCCCAAAGATGAGGCCCAGCCAGAGACTGGAGCCCCTACAGCCAGTTTGGAAGCTAAAGGGGAAACTGAGCCCGACAACTCACCCCTGATTCAGCCCTTGGGCTGCCAGGCTGACCCTGGGCACTCTGCTGGGGAGCCTGTGCCCCACGTAGGCACTGCCACCATGCCAGCAGGCGACACTGGCACGGGGCTGCTGGAGCTGAGGGGTGATGCCCTGGGCCAGGAGCAGCTCGGGAAAGGGAAAACACCTTCATTGGGGAGGAAAACAGATGAAACCACAGAGGAGACCCAGCTTGAGCAGCACGAGAGGAGTGTGAGCCCCTGCCAGCTGCAGAGCTCTGCCCCAGCAGCCCCACAACGCCTCCCCCATCCCAGTGAACCGGGGGGGGACCCAGCTCTGGAGGCCCCAGGGCAGGTCCTGAAACCTGGGGCTGATGGTACAGAGAGTGTGGAGGCCAAGCCAGCTTCACCCAGGAGGGGCAGCAGGATCCCAGCCAGCAAGCTGACACCCACAAGGAGACACAGAGAGTCCCCCAAGAGAGCAGCTGAGGATGCAGAGAGGGGTCCCACAGAGCCACCCCCAGCCCGGGGCTCCTCCCAGCTGGCTCCCAGCCTCAGCTCTCACAGTGGCAGCTCAGCACTGCAAAACTCACCAGTTCTCCCCAAGGGCTCTTACCAGTTTGACCCCAGTAACTTTGACTCCATGGATCCATTCAAGCCCACCAAGACTCTTGCCAACTGTGACCCTGACTCCTGCTCCACTGCAGACAACAGCCTCAATGAAATCCTGGAATCTCAGACCCTGGAGCTGCAGGATGATGCCCTGAAAAGCAGAGACTCCCCCAAGAAGCCCAAGTCACGCCTGATAACGTGAGTGCCAGTGTGTCAGAGCTGGGGCTGCAGCCCCCCTGTGCTCCCCATGGGCAGGCAGAGCTGCACTGGTGGTGGTGATGGAGGAGATGATGATGGTGGTGATGGAAGAGTTGATGGTGGAGGTGATGGAGGTGGTGATGGAGTTGATGGAGGTGGTGGTGATGGAGGAGGTAATTGATGGTGGTGATGGAGGAGTTGATGGTGGAGGTGATGGAGGAGCTGATGATGATGATGGTGATGGAGAGGTGATAGAGGGGTGATGAAGGTGGTCATGATGATGGTGATGATCATGGAGGAGTTGAAGGTGGTGGTGATGGAGGAGGAGGTGATGGAAGTGGTGATGATGGTGATGGTCATGGAGAGATGATGGAGGTGGTGATGGAGGAGTTGATGGAGGTGGTGATGATGAACGAGGTGATGGAGGTGGTGATGGAGAGATGATGATGGTGGTGATGATGGAGAGGTGATGATGGTGTTGGCTGTGCTCCTGCCCTGGTGATGCTCCTGCCTTGGTGATGCTCCTGCCTTGGTGATGCTCCTGCCCTGGTGCCTCCTGAGCCAGCCCCAGGTCCTGCCATGCACCTCAGGCTCTGCTGTTGACTCAGTTTTCTCCTCCTGTGCCTGTCAGTCCCATTGTGGGAGCAGAGGGACAGGAGTTCTGGAGCAGTGCCAGTGTCCTGAGTCCCAAGGGAAGGCTGGATTGGGACCTGCTTGCAGGGTCACCTCTTTGGAAACCCTTTGAGGGTCCATCTGGTGGCTCAGAGTGTAGATGTGGTGTCAGAGGAGCCCTCAGGGGAGGCTGGAACTGATGTGTTTGCTGGACTTGTGCAGGACCAAGCACACCCTGGTGGATGCAGGTGTGGTCGGTCAAATTAGCTGAGACATTTTGTGAGCTGCCACCAAGTTTGTGTTTTATGTCAGAGGAAGAGAACAGGTTGGACAGGCAGTCTCTCACTCTGCAGTTGGATTCTCCAGTGAGAAAATCAGATAGTGGGTTTTAACAGGGAAAGAGAAAACCTCACAGGCAATTTTTTTTTTGTTTTGAGGTTTGTGTTTGGATCTCACCCTGCTGCTGTGGGCAGCATAGGCAGGATCAGAGTGTCCGATGTGTGTGTGCCTTCCCAAAATCTGAGCTAGGCAGCTCCCTGTGCTTCTCAGAGCAGAGTTAACATCCAGGTCTTTTCACACACTCTTCTTCTCTCCATCTGTCTGTCTCTCTCCCTGTCCGTGCTTTGGTGCATCAGGACTACTGAGCAAGTGAAATTTCTCTGTTTTCTGTTGTAAGTACTCTCTCCTGTACTCCTTTCCTTTTCCTTTGCTGTTCTTGTCCTCTCTCTGGGTGTGTGCTGCCCCTCTGGTCTCCATGGCATGCTGGCTCCTTCTGCCCTTTGACTTGTGCTCTCTGCTGTGTGGTTGGTGTGGTGGGGTCCCCAGGGTGGCCTGGCCTGGTGTGAGGGAGGAGAGGAGAGCTGAGCTTAGCTGGGCTGAGTTTAGCTGAGCTGAGCTGCACTGGAGGCACACACCCGTGCTTGTCCTCGCAGCATGCCGCCTTGCAGCATCTTCTGATGGTGGACAAATGCTCAAAACCTTCAGCAGGTTTTTGTGCAATCCAGAGCTGTTGTCTTCGTGCTGGGGAGGGGCTCAAGCCAGCTACCGGATACCTGGCACAGGAGAGGGTGCAGAAAAGAGGAGGGTGAGGACATGAGGGGGGAGCTCAAACCAGCAGCCAGGTGATGGGACAACCCTGGCACAGGAGAGAGTGCAGAAAAGAGGAGTTTGACAAGTTTGTCTTGCTTGTGGCAGGGCATGAGGGAGAAAACCAGTGCAGAGGGATTCTTCAGTGTGATCCAGGTGTGCATGGCAGCGTGCAGAGCCAGCTCTGTGTGCCCCTCATGCTCTGCTGGGCTGGGCTGGGCTCTGCCAGGGGCTGGGGGCAGCTCCATGGACATGGCAGCAGCTCCTGCAGTGCTGCTGGAGGCTTTCCCTGTGCCTGGAGGCTGGGATCCCTCCCCACGGATCACACGAGCTGTTCCAGCTCAGCAAGCATCTCCTGAGGGGTCAGACATGGCCATGAGGCTGGGAGGTCCCTGAGTGTGGAGTGTGAGGGGTTGAGATGCAGGAGAAGAGCTCCTGCTGTCCCCCCATGTTCCCACTGGGGCCGTGGGGATGTGGCTGTGCCTGCAGCCCTGTGCAGATGGATGGGTGTCTTCAGGAACATAGGATGAATTTCCAGGGACAGCCTCCTCCCTGAAGGGCAAGGAGATCACCTGCAAGACCTCCTTGGGCTAAAGATCCCACCTGAGGGGCCCTTCTCCTTGGGACAGCATTTGTGCCATGTGGAGCATTTGTTTGAGGCACAGCACCTTGCCCTGGCTGTGCTGGCCTGACTCACTGGGGGATGTGGCTGCTGTGGAGAAGTCCCAGACAAGCTTCCAACTGCAGGGACAGGCCATGAGACAGCCTGGACATGGTTCTTCCTGCAGAAAGTCGACTTGCACCAAGGCCTGGGGTGCTGTGGTGCTGGACACACAGGGCAAGGGAGATCCTTCTGTGCCAGCTCCTTGGCAGTGCCTCTCTCCCCATCAGCCTCTTGGGCTCCTTGCTCTGCTCCTTACCTTCCTCAGGAATAAACAGCTCACAGACAAACCCAACTCCTGTGTAGTTGTGTCTTTTGTTTGCCTGTTCCTCCTGTCCCTCCCAGCAGCCGCTCTGCCTCAGTGTTCACTGGTGAGTGGGGTGCTGGCACGCC